ACATTCATCATAAAACCCATAAATTCTATTAATGGAAGCACATTCATGATTACCTCTTAAAATGAAGAAATTTTCTGGATATTTAATTTTATAAGCCAAAAGTAAACAAATGGTTTCTAAAGATTGTTTACCTCTATCGACATAATCACCTAAAAATAAGTAATTTGCTTCAGGAGGGAAACCACCATATTCAAAGAGTCGTAACAAATCATAATATTGACCATGAATATCACCACAAATCTTAATTGGTGCTTCCAACTCTAATAATATTGGTTGTTGAATGAAAATTTCTCTTGCTTTAGTACAAAGATAACGAATTTCGTGTTCGGATAAAGTAACTTGTCTACCAGGACGAGAACCTCTAACTTCTAATAATCTATCCACAATGGAATCAATATCAGCCTCTTGATGATCAGACATGGTTTAAGTATGATATAATGCGATAATTTAATAAAAAAAATAACTGTTTATACAACAGTGAATAAGTCTGGATTTATTTCAACCTCACTGAAAAGACAAAAAATGAAAAGCAAAACAAAAACAAATCTTCAAAAAATGTTTGAATCTGCAACAACAACTGTATCACTTAACGAGACCAGTTGGCTTATAGGATTATTCGTTGGATTCAAAAATTAAACTTAAACCAAACAAAACAAGTTTAACACTCACTCTCACTAATTATTTGAAAAGGGCGGGAAATGATAAGTTAAAGTCGTGGCCTCACACTTTCTGGAAATCAACTTCGGATGTATACGGAAGAAGATGGATGGCGATGGCAAGTAGTATGCTTTAACGATGAAGCGCTCACACAGATGAAGGTGGTTTGTTTGATTGATTGATATTGAAAGCTATTCAAAGGATGGCAAACAAGTTTTATTTTAATTCGAATGAATTTTAAAGGTGTGTTTTTTTTTTCTCTTTTTCGCCTTCTCTTCGTTTTTTTTTTTGGCTTTTTTCTTTTTTCTGTGCTTTTTCCTCTGTTGTTTTTTTTTTTTCCTCACTGAAAACTTGTTAGGGAGTGTTTGGATGTGCAAGACACAATCCTTACAATAGATGGCAGAGATACACGCGTAGGGGCCTGGGTGTTGCTTTCGTCAATGGGGGGTGTTTACTTAGTTCATGTCGCTACTCAGATTTCGTTTCGTTGGGATTGCTGGTCACGTGATGCATCACGTGACACGTAAGTCATGTGACCATACACGTGACCATTAATTTTTTTTTTTTTTTTTTTTCAATTATCCATTCTAATATAAGGTATATCCTGGAGATAACAGGAGGAATTCACCCTTTAACCTTCACCACCATGAGTGCTCCACCGTTTGCCAATGAATACGCGTTGCGCATGGTGGCAGAAAACGACTCGAAAGCATGCAATACGTGCTACAAACCCACCAATACGGTGTTATTAAGTAGTAACCAAAAAGATTTCTTCTACGTCTGTGAACAACATTTGAAAGATGAAACTTTTGCTACCGCCGTTCAACCAGAGGAGTATAAAGAATTGATAAAGGAGAAGGCCAAGCTAACTGGGGACTTGGCCCAATGGAAATACGATATGGATAAAATCAAACCGTATGCATGGACAAAATTAGTTTCGAATTTATCATTAAGTAAAGAAAAAGATGGAAAGGAGAATGAAGAATATAAGGAGTTATCGATTAAAATAATGGCAAATAACGAAAGATTGAATCAGTTGAATGAACAAATAAAGAATTACAAATTTAAACAATATAAATTAGATAAAGATATTTATAAGATACGAATTAATAATTTTATTCAAATGCAAATGAATAAAAAAAGACAGCAAAAGATTCATTCTACAAATTATTTCCCATCAGTACCTCAAAATAAGATTGTTTAATTACATACCACCATAATTAACCACTCTTTCGTCAAACCAATTTTCCCAGTCTTCAATTTTATTTTTCAAAACTGAACCAGACTTAAACTCCATATTACCTTCTAACATTTCAAAACGGAAACTTTGATCTTTTGGTACTATGATCGACCATAATTGTCTAACAGTATCATCTTTATCTGATTCTATTTCATCATCATCATCATAACCACCGGTACCTGATCTATTCAATTCATTATGAATGATTTCATTCATGGATGTTTGTAATAACGTTTTGATTCTATGTATTGGTAAACTATCAAATAAATCAGTTTTATTGACGGCGAATAGAAAATCAATCCCATTGGGTAATTTTTCAGTTTGTGATAATATTTCAAAGATTAATTTGGTTATATTCTTGATTTTATTCTCTTGATTAATTGAATTCGATGAACTATCGATAACGAAAACAATTCCTTTTAAATTATCTAATGTAATATCTTCTAATATCAATTTTTTCAATAATGTAGTGTATTTTAAATGTCCTGGGAAATCAACTATTCTAAAAGGTTTTTGAATAGCTTCATTCGAAAATGGTAATTGGATTAACCCATCGTTAGGGTCAAGTGAGGATATGGTACTGGTTGGTAGTTCTTCCTCATTAATTGATTTAAGTTTATAATATAATGATGTTTTACCAGAATTATTACTACCAATTATTAAAAATGTTGGAGTTTTTGATTTGGATTTATTAGACTTAAAGGAATTGTTTTGAATGTAAAAAATTAGCAAAACCAATAGTAACCCCAACAATAAGCTGAGCAATACTTTTTGAACACCGTCCATTCTTAATGATACCTTTGGTGGTTGATAAGTTGTTAACCTGTTGAAGACATTTTTTCGTCTCAATCGTTCGACTTTTTTTTTTTTCTAGCTTTTCTCTTTACATGCACAATACTAAAATATATTATATCTATTAAAATTAGTTTTTACAAATATTTATACCATATTCTCTTGATTTTTGAATTAATAATTGATCAACCAAAACCAAAGCAGCCATGGATTCTACAATTGGAACTGCTCTTGGGGTGACACTTGGATCATGTCTACCTCTTGCAGCCAAAACACCATCTTTACCTTCATAAGTAACAGTAGTTTGTTCTTGACTAATGGTAGCAGCTGATTTGAAAGCAACTGAGAAATAAATATTTTCACCATTTGAAATACCACCTTGAACACCACCACTATTATTGGTTTTAGTTCTTAATCTTTTATTTGATTCATCAAAAATAAATGGATCATTATGTTTTGAACCTGGTATAGTAGTACCGAAAAATCCACTACCAAATTCAAAACCTTTGGTTGCAGGTAATGATAACATTGCATGAGCTAAAGTAGCTTCTAATTTATCAAAACATGGTTCACCTAAACCAATTGGACAGTTTCTAATAACACAAGTAACAACACCACCAATTGAATCTTTTGCATCTCTATATTTTTCAATAACTTTAACCATTTCTTCTCTAACAGTTTCATCTGGACATCTAACTGGTCCAACTGCATCAACCTCTTCTCTAGTAATACTTGATAAAATTTTTTGGAATTTTGGATCTAATGGATTTCTATCCATGGCAATTTCTCCAATACTAGATACAAATGCAACAATTTCAACCCCATTGGCTTTTGCTAAAATTTTTTCTGCAATTGCCCCAGCTGCAACTCTACCAATAGTTTCTCTAGCTGATGATCTACCACCACCTGAAGTTGACTTGGTACCATACTTTTGGATATAAGTCCAATCAGCATGACTTGGTCTTGGGTATAAATCAGTTTCACTATAATCATGTGGTCTATGATCTTCATTTTGAACTAACATACCAATTGGTGATCCTAAACTTAATCCGTTTTCAGTACCAGATTGAATATGAACTTGATCTTTTTCATTTCTTGGAGTAGATAATTTACTTTGACCTGGTCTTCTTCGACTTAATTGTGGTTGAATATCAGCTTCACTTAATTCTAATCCTGGTGGACATCCATCAACTATACACCCAACTGATTTACAGTGGGATTCACCATAAGTGGTGACACGGAATAAAGTACCAAACGATGACATCTTGTTTATCTTCACCTACTGAGTTGATCTTTTCTTAAAGAACTAGTATTTATACGTGAGTTTAAATGTCCTTAGTCACACCACCTTGGTTGATATTCTAATTTTTCACTAGATGATGAGCAGTGCACGCTAAAAAATTTTATTACTCATTTTTGCTTGGGGAAAGCTGGTGCATGGGTGTTTGAGTCCACTTTGCAACAGCCACTGTCAGTCTGACTGTCAACTAGACAAGCACGTATACATACAAAGTTTGTGTTTGCACAAGTGTGTTTGAATAAGTGAAGTTGAAAAGAAAAGGCGTGCGTTTGAAAAGGTTTGCACCTGGAGCGGTCGTTTAGATATCTTGGTTGAGAGCTTTGGATTTCATTAGTTGCAAAAAGATATAAGGATATGCTTTGAGGCGCTGGATCGTACTTACTAACCCTGATACTTACCCGTTTTAGTATATATCCATTTAACCAAGGTTCTTGGGGAGTAGCAAAAGGTTGAAGAAACCATAAACAAAAAATAAACCTGTCAAAACTAAAAACCCCATAGGGTTCTACATTCTCAAATCTGCTTCGATCAGACATGAACCAGATCAGTCAATTAAGTCACCGTAATTATAACCAGTTAACCATACTCGATACGTAGATATGAGACGGCTTCTTAAGCATGGTGCCTAGTGGCTGTTTGACGGTTGAAATGGTCGACACTTGGGTGAAATGCCTATAGTATATTCATCTTAGCTGGGTCTAGGCACTGAGATCTAAGCGATGAGCTAATCCACCATCAATAATAGTCGGTACGTTTCTATGAACGTCTGAACTGTTCAGACAACCCGATACCCGCTGGCATAAAACACTGATAAGCTACACACACACTCATAGTAGTCTCGCAGGAAGTGTTGGTATGTTATACCACTCACTAACGCGGCTTTAGAGTGTTGGTAGTACTAAAACACTCTCATCACCACAAAATAAAATGCTTTTTCTCTAAACGCCTTTTTAATAGCACATAAAACAGCTTGAACATCTTAAACAAAGCGTCTCGGTTCGCCAACAAGACGGGCGTGTGGTCTAGTGGTATGATTCTCGCTTTGGGTTAAGATCATTACTTGACTGGAAACAGTTTAGTAGCTGACCAAGCATGCGAGAGGCCCTGGGTTCAATTCCCAGCTCGCCCCTTCTTTTTTGCATCTCTGATAAACTCACTCTTTCATCCAAGTTAGCGTTTTTCACCAAGTTCAAGAGTAATTAGTCAATATGATTAATTATAATTGAATTGTAATGAAATTTTTTTTGCAGCACAAAAAAAAGCAGTGCACCCACCACTTCACGTGACATGGGTATTCAAAAATATAGAGATGACAATTAACACTCCAAGGGCAAGCTATAATCATGTATCACTCAAACAAGGGACTTTCAAGGCGTATACGAGTAGAAAGATCAATCGTGTATAGGGTATGCGTAGCTGTTTAATGTGCTCTGATTTGTTAGGCATTTTGTTCCTACTTGCAGGTTCCTCATTAGGAAAAATCTAAACAGTTTAAATGCTGTGAAAATTCAATCATCAACTAACTAATAAGACAAACAGAAAACGAACAAACCACTATTATGTTCATTACTGTTATTCGGTTAGTTGCATGTCTTAATAACAAAAAACTTTTTTCGAAAATACTTCAAATTTTAGGATTATCTTTTGTGTTTGCCAATATCTAGTTGTCTTATATTTATCTACTTGTTTTTCATTTGTCTTTTCATTTGAATTTCTACAATTTACAGCTCAAGTATGAAGAGGCAAAAAGCATCATTGATGGTGATTGTTGATGTCGTTTTGGCCTTTGCGTTCATTCTTCAATTGGTATTGGCCAATGAAAATGAAAATGAAAATTGGAATACCTTATACGATTATCAACTGGGTAAAATATATCTTCATTTGAAAGATAATAATTTAATAAGTTTGAATTTCTCAATAACCGGATTTGATAACTTGGATGATTATACTGAGTCCGATATTGATTATAATAATAATCAAGAAATTAATCCGTTAGCAAAACCTCCAATAAATTCCACTTTATTCTTAGCAAATCAAAATCTTTATGCATTCACCAATAAAAAGAGTTCCAAGCTTGATGTTTGTGGAGATGGAGTTTTGAATCTTTTGAAGTATAATGAACCCAATGATAAATGGGATGAATTTGATAATGAACTTATCTTTGATGATATCGAAGACGCTTCATTTTATAAATATTCGTCTTATCTTTCCAGTCCAACAGTAAACGACACCATTTATATCTATGGTGGGTACTGTGATGAAACTAATAACCCAACGAATCGTCTTTTATCATTCAATGTATCCCTGGGGAAGTTTTCTAATATTACAACTTCAACAAAGCCCCAAGCGTTTTTCGGTGCTAATAATTTATTAGCTCCAGACCCTCAAACTCAATTGATTATTGGTGGTGAAACTAATCAAGGTTGGCTAAACATGTATCAATTAGCAGTATGGGATTTCGATTCTGGTTGGACTTCTAAAACTATTGAAAGCTCCGATTCCTCCAAAATTAATTCAAGAAGATTTGCATTAGTATTGCCAATCTTTAATCAATTGAAAGATAATAAGATTTCAACTTTCACCGATTACTATAACGTGGAAGAAGTATTACTACTTGGTGGTCAATTGGGGAATACTGATTCTTCACCACTTTTCGCTAAATTATCATTAGACTCGAATCAGTGGTCTTGGAGTTCTCTTAACGAAACTAATTTAGATTACGACGAAATAATTGGCGCAGCTACCATATTCGATACTCTAGTTATAATCAATGCCACTGCTTCAAATTCTAAAAGAGATACTAATTATCATTTAAGCTTATATAATACTTCTAATTTGAAACTGGTTTCAAGTGTGAAAGAAAATACTCCCTCTCCAAAGAAAACTTCATCATCATCCAAATCAGTCAAGGACATTCAAAAGAAAGCTATATTAGGAACAGTGATACCAGTTACATCTATTGCTTTAGCGATTGTAGCTGGGATTTTTATAATGAAAAAACGGAAACAAGCAAAACAATCTGAAGAGTTAGAAACCATCGACTATCAATTTGGTAATTATTACGATCAACAATCAATTGGTAAATTGAGTGGATTATTTGGACATACTCCTAATCTGAGTAGATCTCAAAATAACTTTATGACCTTAGATCCGTCAACAAATGAAAAATCAATTAAAGTTCATAATGGTCATACCTATAAAAATATCCAGAATCAAGTTTATCATAATGATAATGATACCTCATCAACACTCGATGTAGCATCGATTGATTCATGGGTTAAGAAAAGACAAGAATTTGAAGAAAATAGAAATAAAATAAGAAATAGCTACTTAGCATCAAATGAAACTTTAAGTCATGATTCAATTAAAAGATCTTTTGAAAATAATCAAATAATAACCGATGAAAATCCTTTTAATGATTTATCATTAAATGAACAATTGCCAAAAGAATTAAATGAAAATGGAACTCCAATTGGTGAAATTGTTAATAGATCAGTCACTAAATTAAAAAAATCATTTTCCTTCACTAATACTCCTCCAGGATCACCAATAATATTGAAAAAACCTAAAAGTTCAAATAAAGTTCCTCTATTAAATGATAAAATTTCAGAAAAAGATGAATTTGATTACAAAGAAAAACATCTACCCCAATTACCCAATGAAGATACCAAATCGGTTGATATCTCTCAGTTTAATCGAGATGATGGTTCAATTGGTGCTTCAATTGACGATACAATCGATGCTCAAGTTCTAATAAGTTCTAAGCGTAGATCGAAATTGAGAGTGGTCAATCCTGATATCCAAGAACAACATCACCAACAACCCTCTCCTCAGCCAGACCTTGATATCGATATAGATTACTCAATCTTCAATCATATCAATCTGGATGATGATCATGATAATACAAATATAAGAAAAAGGGTTCCATCCGGTGACAAGCAACTCGACGAATAACCTCTGTATTTTTATGTACCAATTAATACAAACTTCTACTATGTATCCATTCTATTTTTATATCAAAGTGGTACAGCCTTGGACGGTCATCAACCCAAGTTAGTTGACCTTGTAATGAAAAATTTCCTCTTATTCCGGTTTACAAATCCCTTCTTTATCTCATGATCGGCTCGACCCGTACCCTCAACCATAATTTTTTTTTTTTCTCTGTTCTTTCCCTCTCCTTCCTCCTACGAATAAATATTTATCGTTCTATCTGATATTTAAACAGAGTAGTGTCCGATAAAATGCTAACTTAGTATTACGATTAAACAAACTTATAACACACGAAACATAGACGAAACGTATACAGAGTTCATCGAATATTTGCGAATCATTATCATTGCACCGATTAATTTAACCCGGTTCAGTTTGATCATTTCCAGTCAAGTATCTTTTTTTCGAATTTCAGTTTCAAATTAATGGAAGCTTTACAGCTAAGTTATCAATCTTGATGGTTTTAAGAGTATGGAGCAAGATCAGAATATTAACTCTTTTTTCATTTCCAGCAATTTTGCGGGCTCGGACGGGACTCTAGCCAGAGACGGGTCCCAGGAGGCCCAATTTCAAAATCATCAAAACTCAAATCCAAATGCAAATCAACTAAGTAATAATAACGATATTTCCACTTTGCAGGATCCTCAAAATCAAAACTACGATGGGTTTTTCAATGTTCCTTCGTATGAGGGTAATTTTTTTGAAGATTCTGTTTCCAAACAGAATAATGAAGAAATGTTGAATCACGACGATACAATCTTGAATCAGGAAGCATCATTAAATATGCCCGGTGCATTTAAGAATAATAATGACCATATGGAATTGGACGAATCCCCACCTTTTACAATTGAGCTGGATTTCTTATATGATACGGCTTTTAACTTTAATCAAGATCCAAGTAATATGAATAGTGCATTTTCTAATAATGATGATCGTAAAAGTTTGAATCCTGGCTTAAACGATCATAACCTTAATTCCAATATTCCAATGAATTCATTATATCAAGATGCTCATTCAAACGGATTCAATTTCAACGATATGAATCAAGATCAAAATGAGGTAAATTCAATTGTTCCTTCTCAAGATGATCGTCTACGTCATAGTAATTCATTTCTTTCTGTAAATAACTACGATTATGATGGTACGAATCATTTGGGAGATCAATTGCATCTCAGAAACGCTTCAATCGATAGTTATCATAATTCAAATGTTAGCCTACATACTGGCGCCACTCAAGGTTATGAAAGAAGTGATAATTATGACACCAATAAACAATATCAAAATAATAAAAATCTTAGTGTTGGCCTTAATAATCCAAATAATTCTAGTATAAGTAATAATAATTACTATGGTAACGATCTTTCCCCATTGACAACAACAACCTCTCTAACACCTTCTGTCAGTTCCATCCACTCAACCCAACCATCTTTTTTTTCGGCCAATCAATACTTCCCCCGAAATTCACTTGATCAATCTCAAAGTCAAAGTATTCACAGACCCTCCTTCGATGCATATTCTAAAAAAAGACAATCAATGGACAGCCAGGCTTCTGCTAATCGGACTCAACCCCAAAGGAATCAAAGATATGCTAGTTTCACCAACTCAATCAGTAATTATATTCCTTTCATGAGTGATAAGAATCAACAACGCTCCGGCCCCCCATCTCCAAACCAAGCCTCTCCAACAAACTTTATGCCAATCCAGGGTAATCAGCAATCAAAACATCTTATAAGAAGTATTTTCAAAGGAAACAATAACTTGAATAACAACAGCAACAACAATAACGGTAACAGCAACGGTAACAATAACAATAATAATAGTAATAACCAATCTACTAATAACGCTGATTCAAATAACATCTTCCAAAATGGTATCCAAAATGATGGGTTATCAAATGGAATTATTCAAGGGTCTCAACAAAATGATCAATTCATAGATGGATTTTTAACGGATAATGACTACTTCATGACTAGTCCCACAAAGGAAGAGCCTGAACTAGAAAACCCTGATCAAAATACTTTCCATAAGAAAGCCAAAAGGTCTAAGAGAAGTTTGTTCACTAGGTTCAAAACTCCCATCAAACAAGAACCACCTATTGAAGAGGATAACGTGAAAATGGAAGATCTAGATATACCTATC